GTTCAATCAGTGTCCTGAGTCTTGCAGCTACCTTACACTACTGTTCTGAGTGAATGTAAATGCTTTTAATGTTACTAACAGTTCTGATGAAGGTGACCAGTTGTTCTTCTTTGACTAGGATAGATATGTGGATACATATTCTAGTCAAGGCAGAATAGAGTTGATCCAAAGGATGTCTGAGACAGAACCAGTCTGGAACCCCCTCAGAACAACTCTACTCTAGAACACACACAGACCCAGCCTGCTAGATTTTGTCTGAGAGTTCCCCAAAGTCTTCAGTGAAGAGGAATTCAACTAGCTTCCTGAACACTATCCCTAGGACCATACAATTGAATTGACTAAGGGTTTCCAACCCAAGGATTGTAAGGTCTACCTGCTCAACAGAGACAAGTAGGAGGCACTTGACAAGTTCCTTTAGGAAAATCTTTGGAACAGCTGGATCTGACCCTCAAAGTCCCTTATAGCCTCCCCTTTCTTCTTTGTCAAAAAGAAAGATGGGAAGCTCTACTCAGTCTAGGATTATTGTTGTCTTAATGAGGGTACTGTCAAAAACAAGTACCTGCTCCCCCTGATTCAGGAGCTCATTAATAAGATGCATACATCTAGGGTTTTCACTAAGTTGAATGTTTGATAGGGATACAATAATATTCAGATCCAAGACAGAGATGAGTGGAAGGCTGTGTTCTGAACCAATCACAGATTGTACAAACTGACTGTAATGTTCTTCAGACTAACTAACTTGCCTACAATGTTCTAGTCATTCATGAATCACATCCTTACAGATCTGATTGACTCAGAGCACATTGGTGTGTATCTGGACAACATTCTAATCTTCACCCAGACAGTTGAGCACTATTACTGACTAATCTGAGCAGTTCTACAATGGCTCTAAGATAATAAACTGTTCCTCTAAGAAGCAAAGTACTTTTTTGCACAGGAGTCAGTAGATTATCTAGGCTTCATGATTGGTGGAGGAGAGGTCTGTATGGATCCAGCAAAGGTGACTGTAGTTCAGAACTGGCTACAACCTCAGAACCTGAAACAGGTCCAAGTGTTCCTTGAGTTTGTGAACTACTACCAACACTTCATTTAAGGCTTCAGTACCATTGCCTAGCCCCTTCACAATCTTACTAGCAAGGATGTTCCTTAGTAATAGGATGATCAGTAGCAGTCTGTGTTTGAGTCCCTTAAGTAGGCCATTACTAGCAAGCCTGTATTAACAGTTCCAACAGTTGTGGACAAGTTCTGAGTTGAAGCCAACTCTTCCAACTTTGTAAATAGAGCAGTACTGTCCCAGTTCATTAACAGAAAGTAGTGTCTGATAGTGTTCCAATCAGAATCCCTCTCTACAACAGAACAGAACTACCCTATCTATAACAAGGAACTCCTTACAATTGTCTGTTCCCTGGAAGAGTAGCATCAATATCTCCTCAGTACTGTACAGAAGTTTGAGATTTAGAGTGATCACCTTAATCTCCAGTACTTCCAGGCACCCCAGAAGCTCAACCACTACCAAGCCTGCTGAATGTTAGAACTGTAGAACTTTGACTTTGTACTGACCTACAAACCCAGAACACAAATGATGAAAGCCAATTTACTCTCAAGACAAGCAGGTTATGAAAGGGGGGAGAATGATAACAAAAATCTTGTTCTCCTAGACAATTCCTGTTTTGTGTCTGAGACAATCCAAGAGATCCAACTTGAATCCAAGGATGTCAACTTTGTCACCTGTATACAGTAAGCTCTGAGACACACACAGGACCAGGTTGTAGTGAAGCAACTGGAGAAACAGGCTAGGGATTGGGAGGAGGATGAGGATGGATAGGTTTACTAGGAAGGCTGACTGTATGTTCTGAAGGATCAGAAATTGTGGGAGGACATTGTCTGAGCTCATCACAACAATCTGACTGTAGGACATCTGGACTGACACAAAACACAGGAACTCATCACTCAGAACTACTGGTGGCCTAGAATGTAGAGGGAAATCCTGAAGTATGTGACTGGTTGCAATATGTGCCAACAGACTAAGGCCTACCAGACAAGGGTTCAGGCTCCCCTACATCTGTATTGGATCCTGGATCACTCTTAGGAAGAAGTCTCAGTAGACCTGATTGGCAAGCTACCTAAGTCTTAGGGTTACAACACTATCTGTATGATTGTTGACTGATTCTCCAAGCAAGTCCATACAGTTCCAACCTGAACAGAACTCACTTCTGAAGGTATGGTGCACATTTATCAGGATCATGTCTTCCAGTTGTACAGACTCCCTCAGAAGCTCATTCATGATTACAGACTGTAATTTGAGTTGAAATTCATGTAGGACTTGTATGTGCTTCTCAGAATTCAAGGGAACCCTTCTACTACCTATCACCTGTAGACTGACAGTCAAACTGAGTAAGTCAATCAGGAGATTGAGCTCTACCTCTGGATGTTCATCAATCATCAGTAATTAGATTGGTCTGAATGGCTAGCTCTGGCAGAATTTGTGTACAATAACCAGCAACACTCTGTAACAGGACAGTCCCTGTTCTTCCTCAATCATGAGAGACATCTGTACTAGGGGACAGTTCTGAACTGGAACAATAGTTCTGAATCTGTAACAGACCTTACAGAACAGATGTACAGAACCAGGGAGGACACACAAGCTCTTTTGGAAAAGGTAGCACAGGTTATGAAGCAGAACTATGATTAGAAGAGGTCTGTGGCCAAGGATTACCAGCCTGGTGACAAAGTTATGCTGGAAGCTACTAACCTGACCATAGATTGCCTAATGAAGAAGTTGGACAACAAGCACTTCAGACCCTTTGTTATTGAAAAGAAGGTCAGTGCCTCTGCCTACAAACTCCAACTTCTGGCAACATGGAAGTGTATACACCCAGTGTTTAACAAGGTTCTACTGTCTTGATACTATGATCCAGGTTTTCCTTTACAACAAAGACCCCTACTGCCTCCACCAGAACTTATTGGTTCTGAACCAGAATACAAAGTAGAATACATAGTAGATGCTAAGCTGGTGTGTAGAAAGCTCAAGTTCCTTATTCACTGGAAGGGATACCCAGTTGAAGAATACACTTGGGAACCTGCTAAGAATCTCACCCATACTGCTAAGGCAATCCAAGACTTCTATTGACTTCATCTGGGTGCTCTGTGTCAACTCTGCCTCACAGATTTCCAAACCCTACCATTCTGACCTATGCCTGAGCTGCTGACCAAGCCCAATACTCACTAATCAGGACGATTGGTTTTAGAGGGGGGGTGATGTTACAGTTCTCTACTCTTGTACCTTTAGTTCTGAGGGTTCTGCACCCTTCTGTACCAGAACTCAGGACTTCTGTCCCTCAGGGGTGCTGTCTATGAACTATATACATACTGACTCTTACTACTACCCTTCCTTACTTCATCATTCCATTCCTTTGACCACCCCTTCATTCTTTGTATCATTCTATAGTCTCTTACCCTTTATCTATCCCTTCATTCTTTGTACCTTTATCTTTAACATTCCTTTCTTTCATTCTTCATGGCTCATCATTCTTAGTGGCTCATGCTCCCTGAGTGCTCTTGTGTAGTTTAGTATATATAGGTGTACAAGATCAGACTGGTCCTGTAGTCTTGATCTTGTCTACTCCAGGTAGTCCTGTACTCTTAGGCTCACTCTATATACCCTACTCTTGTCTCACTCTCTCTCTCTGCCTGTTCTGCAAGTTCTGACTATGTTCCAGTGCTTACATTCTGTATTTCTGTTGTGTAGGATAGTTGTAGCCTGGGTCCCCTTGCTGAGCCTTCAGGTCCCCTCTACACT